TAATTTTTTATTATTACAATTAAAGTTGGAAAAATCTAAATTTATTTTCAAGGTAAAATATGATCTTATTATTTGTCTTAGATAACTTTAAAAATGTTAGTTTTTGTTTTCTAGATATTTTATTAAACTGTGAGTCAAGAGAAATTCAGCAATATAATAAAATTTAAAGATATTTGCCATAAATTAACTTATCATATTACTTACATTGTTATATAAGACATTATAAAAAAAAAAAAATGAAACAACAGAGTTGATGTAATTAATATTCTTATCGAAAAAAAATGTAATAAGTCATCTAGAATTGATAAATATTTTAAATACCTTAAATATATTTCGTCTTGCAAATGACTTGATATGTGTATAATATTTTTACAATGTTTTTTCAATACTATTTTTCTAAAAAATGTAAAGCATTTAAAATTTAAGTATTTAAAAATTAAAGATATTTAAAAAAATAGTTTAGATTATATTAAAAAAAAATATTTGTTTTAATTTTTTTAATAAAATGTTTTATAGGCATTTAAAACAAATTTATAAAAATTTAAGTAATTTGTCAATATGACTTGATGAATAATTGTTAAAATTATTAAATTTAAGTGGAAAACTTAAGAGATCGATTACTCATAAATGATGTCGTCGGCATGTCTTTCTCTTTTTAATCATATAGTATACAAAGAAATCCTTAAATTTAATTTAATTTTAAGTTACGTATATGTTCCATTTCTATACAAAAATCAACCATTTTTACCAAAAAATGTATGGTTTTTATCATTAATGCTTGACTTTTATAAGTATATAACTCAAGTGGTGTATGTGCTCTATGCCCGGACTACAAACCAACTTTATGTATTAAAATGTTTGTAACTTAATAATTACTTATCTTAGAGTTGTTATTCACACACATTTTTTTAAAAAAATAAGAATATTGAAAGTTCTAATAAATTAATAAAAAACCATCAAAGTAAGGTCACAGTATAGAGGGAAAGCGACTTAGTTAGAACAAGAATAGATGATATCTATAGTTTTTAAAATTACTTTCATTAAATAATGCTTCAATTTAAATTTGTTGACTGTGTTTAGCTTTTAGAAGAAATTATTATAATTATTATTATTGACCATCGTTAGTTAATTATTATTTCAGTTTTGAAATTGAAATTGTAATTTATCAAAAGCCATTTGGTACTAGAACATTTCTTTTATAAGGGTTCTTTTAATATACTTACTGTATTTAAATGGTATTTATTTTAAGTTAAATATTAAAAATTGGTTTGTTTACAATTTGCTAACAGTAGAAATAATAGTTTTCTGAGTTTGACAATAACAAGTACACAAATACTCATATAAAAATAAACATATTAATTGTAATGTGCTGTGTAGTGTTCTGAGCATTAGTAGTAGACGTTTAAGTTCTTACCTTAATTGCACTTGTATTAGTGATGCCATGTTCATTTGGTTCAGGTGCGAATATATTTGACTTCTGTGCAGATTTTTTCATGGCTCTCTAATATAGTTCAATAATGTATGCATTTACGCATCATGAAATTCATATATTTTCTGTAATTAATATTGGAGAGGATAAAAATATGATGTTCATAAAAACATAACAGATCACCCGTTATTATTCCTTATTGCTCCTTCGACCATGACAACGCCTCACCAGCGACGCCATCACAAAAAGAACTGAAAATTCTCATCCGATATTGTGCACACGTTATATATTTTCAATACTTAGGTTACCTTGTCTAAATGTACCATTACAGTATAGTTAATAAATGGGGTGAAAATCATCCCTTACAATATTTAATTAAATCTTATTTATTATAATTATTAAATGGTAAATGGAGGTACTTAATTCCTCTTCCTATATATCTATACTGCTGGACCTTATGTATTGGCACAAATAATTTAAAAATATAAATTGAAATAAAAAATTATAAAAACACGAATAACAATGATTTTTTACACTGAAATAACATTTTTTGTAGAACATTGTACACCGTTAACGTTCATTTTAACTTATAGTATGTAACATAAGCTTTAATTTAACCTATGTTTGAATTTCAGTGTATTTCTGGAACAATATCAAAACTTAAGTTGACAAAGTTTTACTTTTTAAATGTATGTTTCAAGATTTTAACGCCCTCTATATAAGAGAAAATGATCCTATATAAAAAAAAGTATATCAGATAAAGGGGATATGTATAAAAAATTAATTAAAATGAAAAATTAATACATTCTCAAAAATTAATTAAAAAAAAGTATCGAAATATATTCGTCAGAGCAAGCTGAGGCATATAAGTAATTCGCTGTAGTGTTTATTTTCATAGCGACACTTACTGGTACGAAGTTGGAGCTATACTGACGGCTTATTTTATTTTCTACTTGTTATTATCATTTTTGTTGTTATTATTCTTCGTGTTATCATTTATGTTGTTGTTATTCTTCATCTTAACATTTTTTTTTTATGTTTTTATCATTTTTGTTCATGATATCAATGAAAATAAAATGATCAAAAAGTTATTTATATTTATTCTTACACTATTATTTTATCATCTTAGCTATTTCGTTAGGATATCACTATTTATCACATTAGACAGTTTTGCTTTTTCAAGTATTTTTTAATGATAACTTATTTTGTAATAGTAGTTAGTTACAACTTTACATAAACTTTTTTTGATACAATAGTAGTATCAAATACGATTTACAATATGTGTTGACAATATATTATTATAAAAATCATTAAACTCTTGATGACTGAACTCATAAAGTAATGTTACAAAATTGTTTTTGCCCAGTCAAAATTTTATTTAATGAATTCTCTATTTAGTGGTAAATAAATAATTATTAGTTCACATTTAACTTTTAAAAGTTACTCCTAAAATTATCCTTAAAATAATTTTTTTCTTACAACAACTTTTGAAAGATCTTTACTATGGTTCATACAAATAAATCAAACTTAAATATATACATTTTTTATGAAAAAATTATTATTTATCTAAAATTTGAAAGTAGTATCCTTAATATATCAATCTGTAGATAAAAAAAAGGTAAAATTTTCTATAACGTAAATGAATACTATGTATAATTTGTTCGTATTTTTTATTAGAAGTGAAGATTAAAAGTGCTTTTGTAAGTTTATTGAGAGGAAAAATGTTCACAACAAAATATTAACTCAGCTAATATTTTGGGAAATATTTAAAAGGGAGGAAGAAAAACAACAACAAAAATATTTATTAAAGAAAAACAGGAATTTATGTGTATTTTATTTAGATAATAGACAAATTATTTTGAGTTTTTTCTAGCTAATTTTTTCACCGAATATTTTTATTTCATTTAGATGACTTTTTATTAAAATATCTATATTCAATCTAGATGACTTTTTGGTTTTCTAATTTCAGTACTGCCTACAATATATAAAAAAACTCCAATGAATATCAATATAAAACAACATAAAAATAATTTTGAGATGTGTTTAAAGCGCTCGATTTCTATAAAACTCAACAATGTACTAATTTTATAGTACATGCGTAAATACAAAAAAATTTGTTTTTATTTACTGCTATCTCTTTTTTCCATCTATCACTCAGCCATTTAAACTATATGGCATGTATAATTATAAATATATGTTTTATAATACACAATATTTTGATTAATTTATACTTATAAACAATAAAAGAACATTTTTAATTAAAAAATGGAGACATGTTTATGAAAATTACCAAATAACTTTGATAAATTTGGCTAACGCAAGATTTAAACAAAATAATTTTAGATGAAATTTAAAAACGTCATAATTCTACTAGCATTATATAAATTCACATTTTTCTTTGAAAATATTTTGGTATATCTTACACGCTATAAATAAAGTGTTCGTAATATCTACGTACTGTTTTAGAGTATTCTATTGGACATTTAGAAACTTTTTATTACCAAAACTTGTGCAAAAGTAAAGTAGTATTTTGTATTTATTGCAATATTGTTGGAATGCTTTCAACTACAATTTTCGTTTATATATTCTTATTAAATATATCCAGTGAATGTTTAAATACATTATGCATACTCATATAAAATACTGTTGAAAACTAAATTCGTTATAACCATTAATTAAAAATTTAGTAGTTTACGAACGTGGTAATAGCAAAATAATTTTTCCTTGTTACATTTTTGGGTAATTTATTACAATAAGACAGTATTTTTACCTTAGGCAAATTTTTTTAACAAAAACTTCAAATGATAAGAAAATAAACAAAAAAATTATTTTAAAATTAAAATTTGCTATAAAAATCAACCTCATTTATTATCTCCTACATGGCGACATCAATATTGCATATACATTACGCCGTGTTAATGCGAGTTATCCCTGTAAATCAACTACTTTTATCTATAACTTAATGCAGTTTTTTTTTTTATATATATAATCTATCACTATATACATTTTTATACAGTTTTAAGATTGAACTTTATTTTTTCTTATTGCACACAATTTTATGACACAAGTTAAATACTTATAAATGTAAGATTTAACATTACAAGATTAATTCAGTTTCTTAGTAAAAAGAATGAAAATAAATTACTAAGATAATATAAATAATTTGAAAAATTGTTAAATGTTACTAAAAATAACTCAGAGTTTAGTAGTGTATAAAACGCAGGGGTTATACTTGGTCCATGATTATGTGCAAACTAATTAAAGAAATGTACATATTATATTAATTATTCGAAATTATTTAAAAATATATAAATTAATTAATTTTAATTTTTGTTGTGATAAAAATAAATATTAATTTTTCAATTATTTAATTTAGCAATTTTAAATTGAATCCACGTAAATGAACGTTTTTTTGAATAAAATAATTATGCTATACATTCAATATTATTTGAACCACATTTTTATGACATGGGGCATTTAAAATGACAATATACGATAGATTTTTGTCTCAAAGGTCACGTTGATCAAGCGCAACGTTCAACTAAAAGAGCGAACAGTTGTAGAAAGCCGGCGCATCTCGCCATTAGTTAGTCATCGGACACGTGCGTTGCCGGTCTCTTGTTCCGTAGAGAGCCCGCGCTCTAATATTACTCATAAACGAATTGTGCCGCATTCGAAAAACAATGACTTGTCATTTGTCGGTAGTTATTATTTTGGCAGTCAACATTTTCATTATTGTAGTAGGTTAGTATTCATTATAAATTTTATCATTTTAACATTCTTTCGAAATAACTTAATTTTAAAAAAAATACTGTAGCACTCAAAAGTTGAACGTTTTGTATACATACATTCGCTTTTAAAGTGTAATAATTATTATAGAAAAATAAAAGTTCTATTAACAAATTAGAATGATACATTATACCAATAGAAAAACCACATGCTCGATAAAGTAATATTTCCATAGTCGTGATTCTTTAAGTTATTATTTACGTTTGAGAACTGCAAATATAAGCATTAAACATTTTTTTTAATTAATTCCAATTAAAAACTTAAACTACAAATTTTTGTTAAACTTTTCAAACTTATTAAAATACAAAGGTCTAATTTTAAGAATCATTTAAATAACTAGTTTAAAGTTATGTTAAATTAAAAATAATAATTTTACTAACTAAATATAAAATATAATAAAGTAGCACGTATTTTTACAAATATTTTAATCGTTTAATTATGTTATTTCAAAAAGACTTATAAAAAATATTGATCAAACAGAGCCATCTTAAAATATTATTGAAACTTTCTAATTGTACACCTCCTAAATTAGCCAAGTAAAAATATTTATCCACATATCTTGAATTTATCTCAAAGTATTTGATCTGATAAATAGTAAAATATCTAAAATTTTCATTTTTTATTCGAGAAGTTTATACTATATCATTTTTAATTTTAATGTGATCATGATAATTATCTGCCCAATTTTAATATGTATTGAACCTATAATAAATTTTAATTACTACTTTTTTTGACCAAGAAAAAATTGGAAATACGATGAAATTTCAGATAAAAATATTATTTTATCTATCAATTCATCATAAATCATTGTGTTAAAATAATCTAATTTTCGAACAAAATAGATAACTGTATTTGATCAGGAAAATAAATAACAACGTGCTCTGGCCTGTAAATAATTGGCTGTCTGTCAACGACTTAAAAATTATTTCATCAAAACAAATTCAGAATACATTTATATTGATTATACAAATGATTTAGTTGATTGAAGGATATTAATGAAACAATAGTTACTCACAGTTCATGTTATCAATTACTGACAGTCACATTTTAATAAAAATTTAGTTTTTTAAATTATAAAATTATCTAGACTTTTGTGTTTTATAAATTTTAAGGCACAAATAATATCCACACATTAAATGAATATTAAACTTGACTTTCAAACTTAATAACTATTTTTAAACTATATTATTATATTTTGAAGTATTTCTTTAGATTTATTTCTTGATTAATATTTAAAATAAACAAATGTAAAAAGTTTCATAAGATTGTTATACAATAAAATGTTTGTTTAAAGAGGTAGCGCGTAGATTTTTTTACAAAATCATTCTCTCGTTTTATAGTGCACTAGGAAAGATTTTAAATAAATAAAATTTACAAATATCATACTAATTTCATTGAATTCAAATTTTACACTTTTAGCCAATTGAAGTATAAATTTAATTGATACGTTTTTTTTTCAGACAACACTTTGCAAACATGAAGTTTTTATGCATTTTTATAATTATATAATTTTTATCTAGGAATGGTTAAGGTTTAACGAATTAAATTTTTTTTTACGATAATGTGTATCTGTACATTATAACAAAAGCATATGACGTGACTAATAAATATTTATCGCAAAAATATTTGCAAGTAAGCTAAATAGAACGCTATTATTTATGTTTTATTATCTTGAAATCCATAAATGTTCCATAAATATGTTTGGAAAATTAAAAAAATAATGTTGTAAACAAAGTTATTGTTAGCTTGATGTAAAACGATACATCGTTTTTTTTAATTCAACTCGTGCATCCGTAACAAAATATTAAAGGCCATTTGAATTTTTGGTTTTCAATTCACATTTGCCTCTATAGTAGAAATTTTAATTAAATTATGAAAAATATTTTATTATAAAAACAAAAATAAAAAATACATTTCCATACCTGTATTTAGACTCAGATAAATTAATAATTATCATTCGAAATATACAAGTTGATTACTATTGTCTTGTGTAATGTTAATTAATCAATATAAATGCATTATGGCTCCATATAATATTATGTAGAGCCATTGTACTCCTGGTACCGGAAGTTTTTTTTTTTTTTTTGTTATAAAAATATTAGCCGAAACATTAATTTATACTTAGAGAAAATATAATATACATAAAAACGTTTATGAAAGCATTTAAAAGTTTTCCTCTCCCTGCAAAAAATAAAATAATAATAATAAAAACAAATTTAAAAAGGCTTAAAAGTAATAAATTATCGCTGCGTAGCTCATTTTTTCATCGAAGTGTTTTTTCACTTTGTGCCGACACGTTGCTGTGAAACCATAACTCTTGGACTAAAGGGAAGCTTCAGTTTACATACCAATATTTATTCATAAACGTTACATGGGCATAAAATGTTTCACATAAAAATATTTAATGAGTTTCAATACTCCTAGGCATCACACACAGTGTTTTTAAGAGAAAAATTTGTAATAAAACATTTTTTTGTACATATTTTAATGTGTATATTTGTATAATTAAATTAATATAATATGACGCTTACGGAAATTTTAAATATATTGTTAAAAATTCCTTAGATACAATATAAATAATAATTTAAACTATTTTAGTTTTAAATTAGTATTAAATTTTAGATAACTAAGTTTCAATAAACTGCGAGATAAATTTTTTTGAACTATAATTACTGTATTATTTGGTTGCATCAGAACGAACCAAATAAAATTATTATTACAAAAGAATAATTTTTTTTAAAGAAATTTTACTTTTGGAAAATTACATGGAATGTGTCTCGGATTCGAGGAAACAATTTACTATTACGCGTGTTACTCGAGACCTGATAGATTTTCCTCTAGTTTAAAGGAAAATTCTTTTGTACAAGAATTCTTCAGTTACATAAATTTCAACAATCGGCTGTTATTATAGACGTGGGGGAAGAGTTGAAATCGCGTGAAAGTCAGCGAAGTATAGAAAGTGGCACATGAATATGGGCACTTGAACGACATACGCTTGTGATAGTAAATAAGTTTTTTTCCTCGTTCAGTCCCGTACCGTGGGATCAGATTTGTTCCCAGATGAACGTTTCGAAGAGTACTAAACCCAAAATATTATAGTAAAATACAGTGAAATTTAACAGACTCAACCCTCATGTCATAAAATCCTTGTTCTGTTTTGAAAACCTGACGATAACTTTCAATGAAATCATTTTATTTTATAAACAAAATTTGTTTTTATGACTTCAGTTTTTCAAGCGTTTTTCATTGATCGACATATATACATGTATATTTTTGTAAATGTTGCTTTCAAGTAGAAATTATAGACTATCCCTAGTTTACATTTACCTATAAAACGCACTAAAGATATTTATTAAAAAATACTTATATTTTCAACGTTATGAACCATCAATATTTTATATAAAATTTTTTATGAAACTCTTTTTAAATCTTATCTTTACTTAATTTTAACAAAACAAAATAATGATACGGCATTTCTTTTACATACATTATTTCAGTTTAATTCAATAGTAAATTATTTACTGTTTATGTAACTTACCCTATTATATTATACATCACTCTTTATCATAAATGTAATCCCTCCCCGAAGACGGCGAATGTATAATTAATGTACATTATATGTTAAGTATTTTCTGAGTTAAGAATGTCTTTAACGTTTTTATTAAGTGTGACGGTGAAATTACAATTCCTCATTATTTATAAATTTTAATGATTCTATTCCTTAGGCCTAAATAAACTAGTTGTATATGAAACATCTTAATTTTATTATTCAATCTATTATTATAGGACATATTAGTTCAGTAACTGTGATCTCGTATAAACAGTTTTCCTATTTATCAAAATGAAAATTTCGTTATATTAAATTTACCGACATATCACACATATAAATAGAATCATAGAGAAACAACGCGGTAAAATAAAAAAACAAAAAATAATTATTTTTTTATTGTTGTAATATGACAGAAACTCTATTTCACATTACTCGATAGAAGTCCATTTAATAGCTGTCTGAGTTGAAAGCCCAGACAAGTATATAAATTATTATGCATTTGTTTTAAAATTTCAGTGCACAACATGCAACAATTACAACGGAAATAAATTTCTGTGAAAACAAACCTTTTGTATGCGGCACGGTGTTCTAGTGAAAATTATTGACGCTTAAGGGGATAATAAAACTGCTTAGCTAATAAAATCTAATGCAAAGGTCTGGAGAGCTAATGCAATCGGAATTATCTACCTGTTGTCGTTATTGTGTTATACGAAAATTTAAAAGAGACGAGTAGCGAGTACACAATTTCAATACTTGTACTAGAAGTTTATGTTTCACTTCGGCTAAGATTATAAAATGCAATAAACTTCTAAGAAAAAACAAAAGGGATTAATATAATTTTGTTTTTTTTTCTCATGAGACAAATAAATGTAAAATTTATATGAAGCACAAATATAATTTATAATTTGCAGTGACACAAAAAAATGTTGAAGTTATTTTTAATTACAGTAATTAAAAATACTCGAATTTTTAATTTATAGAAATAAAATTTTAAAAATATTTATATTATATAAATTATATTTAATTTTTAATAGACTATAAAAAAAAACGACTTTACAACATTGAGCTTTTTTAAATTAAGTAAAAATAAAATCTTAAAGTTTGACATTCTCAAAAAATTGCTTCAGGAAATCTGTAATAAGTATATATGCAACTTTATTACTACTTTTATTGTTTCCTACGCATAGACGGCTATAAATTTATTTTTCAGTGGCATCTGCAAGAAATGTTTCAAGTTTTTGTAAGAAATAAAAATCTACGGCATTTTATTTTAACACAAAGATTATAAAAAATATTATTTTATTAACTTACACTCGAAGCTTTTTGCAGTTTTGAGCTTCAAAGTAAATAAGTATAATTTTAATAATTAGCCCTTTTAAACCTTTAGATATCAAAGTTTCAACTA